TCCAACACGAGGCCTGAAGAAGCGTCAGCATAGCAGCAGACCAGAAATTGAGGCTGCTCAACCACCCCCTCCACCCGGCAACAGAAAGCCAGAGAAAAGCACAGCACCTGCAAGCAATTAACAAGGGCCTTTGTGAGGCTGGCGGAGGGTGGAGAGGACGGGAATTCAAAGCACCAGCAGAAGAATACAGAAAAACAAGAATATAGCATAAGTTAAGTCAAGCTAGAGCAGTAAGTAGAAATGTAAGTTAAGAATTAGTAATAGATATAGAACTAAGAAGATAGACAAATAAGACATGAATTTACATAGGGAAGACAGAAAACCAATATAGGAACAACAGGGAAAAATAAGAATACAAACTATAGTCAACTGAATGAAAGTAAAGATAAGCAATCTATTATGCTACAAGGAACCTACTGAAGAAGCACAAGCTTACGGTGGTTCAGTTTCCCAGGAAAAATGTTGAAGGAGTTTAAAGATCAATACGTGCACTCTGTACTGTACCCAAAAAGCAACTGGTAGCCAAGGGAGGACTTTCATAATAGGAATCATATGATCCCTGTACCTGGCACCAATTGGCAATTTCTGGACACTTTTCAAGGATAACAGTGCAGTGCAGGAGTCAAGATGGGTTGCCACCAAGCTATGGATGATTGTTGCTATGTCCAGTCAGCTCAGAAAGAGAGGTCGTTGGCACACTACTGTAATTATACAGACAGACTTTCTGGCACAGCCACCATTTCCAAATCAAGTGACATCTGGAATCAAGCAGTCCCACATCTGTTTGCATCCAATTTTATTTCTCCTTTTTTCAACTTACTGGTAAATCATTCCAACTGACAGAACTCTGAAATATGTTGAGGGTTGTTATTTTCTTTTATAACTTTTTCTGCTATCCATGCACAATCTGACATCTTAAAAGTTTCAGGGATGAGGTTATGATATTATTAAGAAGGTATAAAACATAGGTTTACATTTTGGGTGGAGTTTTGTCTCCTTTGGTCTACAGATTGTGGCTGGAAGTGTCAGACCAGTATGTCATATTTATGCATCTTCAGTCTTTGACTATCTGAAAGGAATGAAAGTATTATCCTGCACTGAGCATAAAACCATAACCTAATCCTTTTTGGTAATCAGTATAACCCTAATAAAACTGACTGGTGTTGGGCTGAACTAGATCTACTGATAGCCAACAAAGCTTAAGCTTAAGCACTCACACCTAAATACTGAAGTGGGAAGTCTGCCTGAATATTTTGGCTGGTGGGTGATTAGTAGAAGAAAACCTGCTTAAATTAATTTCCTATAGCAGTACAAATATTTCTTCGCAGCTCTTAGTATGGTTAGGCTGAACTTTTGAAGAGTTGTTTTTATATATACTTGTTGAAAGTTTCCCTTCTTCATGAGGTTCATAGGTGGTAAACTAGAGTCAACATATTTTCAGGTCTCAGCTGATTTGGGGCTTCTGTAGTTATTATGGTTCTTTTTATTGTCATTGCATTCACACATAATGCTATGTTGGCCTTGTTGTTCTCCAAGAGTCTGTCAGGATTGGGGCAGGCAATTAATATTGTCAAATAAATAAATATGAGAGAGAGAAGCTGTCACTAAATATTTAACTGGTTCTTTTATGAAGGACCTCCGTGTACCCCTGCCGTTCAAGGACATCAGAAATGTCATTATTATCTGTCTTCATATCAATTCAGTTTCTTTTTTAGAAAAATAAGAAAGGGGTTTTATTAAGATCAGCCAATATGATCTCTTTTTCAGTTATTTAAAAAACAGATTTTGCCAGTGTGAAAAATGACATAATTTGTCTTGTTAATATGTTTATTTCTCAGATTTTGTGACTTCTTTCTGTTTGTCAAACAGGGAAGCAGTTTAAGCTTTACATGACAGCTCCTGCCTGAGCTGCAGCATTGCAGTAACACTAAGAAACTTGTAAAATTTTCAGAAGGGTATTGGGTGGGTGGGTGAGAGAAATTTGCTTTCCCTTCTTTCAAGCTGTATATGCTTTTGTTTTTGTTTTTGTTTTAATCGTCTTACTATAGTTGTGAAAATGACTTTGTTACAGATATATCTGTAGGCATGAATGTGTAAACTTCAAAAGGATAGATGGAGATTTATGTGGAATTAAAAACAGATGAAGCCTCCTTTTTTAATGCTCTCCTCTGTTGACACCTATGTCACATAAAGTGACATGAGGTGGCATAGGACAAGGGTAGATGAAAGATATGGGGAAAAATAGAGGGAGAAACTGAAATTTATATAGGTAGTTTTTTTTAATTGAACAATCATACACTTTCCCTGGTCCCATAATATCCAGCAGCATGTTTTGAATGTACAAGGGAGAGAAAGGCTGTAAAATCACTGAACTAGCACTGAAGATGTTACCTAGCTGGTAACAAAGCGTTTGCAAGAAAACAGCCAAATTCAAAGAACCCCAAGAACTCCAGAATCACTGAACTGTAGAAGAATTCTTCAGCAATTCTTTAACTTCCCTCCCCTAAAGCAGTCATTGGAGAGCCACAACAGTCACAACGCTACACACTACCTTTCTGTCCATAGTTCCCAATCTTGGAACTTTCCAAAGGTGGACTGTTTGGATGGGGGAGGGGAAGGATAATTTTTTGAAGGCACCCTGGGTGTCCATACAGATGTCTGAACCATTCATAGATTGGAAGGAAAGAAGGAAAGAGGGATAGACAAATAGGTTTATATAATTCAGCAGTTTTTGCATTTGTTTAGGGAAGGGGGAGAATTATTTTCATGGCATTTGCCACTGGGTTTATGAATTAAATGTCCTGGAAGAAGAAAGTATTTACTCAAAATGTCTTCCCCTTATTTTGACAGGCTTCATGGTACTTGTACCTGCTGAAACAGAAATCCTCTAAGCTTCCCCTCACTATCAGTCTCTTTTGATGGCTCAGTCTACAACTCCTGAGTACAGGGTTTCCTCATCTGGGTCCATAAGAAATGGTAAATTGAAACAGTGACAAGTTGAATCCCTCAGGCAGCCAGAGAAGAAGGAACAGGTATCTGTTGATGATGTTTAAAAGACATAAGTTTAACAAGTTCTACCACTGGGACAGATTGCCAGATCCATGACATTTTGGATCACTAGCAATATGATTGTCTCACCTGTACCTATCACCTGTGGGATCACCTAAAACAACTACTGATAATATTTGCTTTTGCCTGAAAACAGGAACCTTCCATGTACTTGGCTGAAAGCCTTTCTCAACTCTAACTTAGCCAAAAACGAGAAATACAGAAACGGAACTTTCCTTGTGCTAAAAGATATGATTTTTCTCATACGTATTTGGAGTTTTCCCGCATAAATATTATTCAAAGCTTTTTCAAGTTGCCAGTTTGATTCAAATAAAATTACTCACAATTTTCAAGATTAACTGCGTGCTGGAAATATTATCAGAATGTTTTCATTTTGTATGTACATAATTTTCCATTCTCTGGGAAACTTTTTTGTTCCCGTGATATTTTCAATACTTAAAAATATAGATGATCTCTAATTATGACATGCTTTTTCAGTGTTACTGGATGAAGTAATGAAAGTGCTGCATTTTCAGCTGAAAATATTATCTTTTTTTTAAATTTGAAGGGAACAGAGAAATGTAATCCAATGGGGTTATCAAGCCCCACACAGCTGGCAAGTTCAATGAAGCAAGAACTGCACAGATTTCAGTAAGGCATCTGTAATGCTAGCCTGGGGTGGATACTGAATTTTGGACACTGCGAAAGTAATTCCCCAGCCTCGTGTATAGAGGGTTTAATTAAGGGGGTATCATTGCCTAATTTTACACCTGGGCTAAGTTGCCATTTATGAGATAAGGTATCAACTGACTTGGCCCTCTCTCTTGATTGTTTATGTCTGCTCTCTCTCCCATTCTTTTCCTAGCCTCATCACTGTCTCTTACAAGGTCAACCTTCTTTTTCCTCCCCAGCAAGGTCCTTGGGAATTATTTTATATCAAGCATGACTAACCTTTTGATAGTCAGCTATCACAAATCCCTTCCTTCCTTCCTTCCTTCCTTCCTTCCTTCCTTCCTTCCTTCCTTCCTTCCTTCCTTCCTTCCTTCCTTCCTTCCTTCCTTCCTTCCTTCCACAATGATGCAAAGTGGATAGGATAACATCAAGGGTGAAGAGCTGGAAATTTCTGGCTGGGGGGAGAGATCTTTGATTATTGTGCTTTTGTGTTTCCCACAAAAGGGCTCTGAGTCTCCATAAAAGTGAGAAATTAAGCACAATAAGGAAATTGAAACATTTAGACACCTTTGTGGCAGGGAGACATGTAAAGCAGGAAGAAATGGTATTCAAAATCTGTCAGCCCTTCAAGCTAGATCAGGTCAGGAAGCAAACACCACAAGAAATACTAGAATTCTACTTTATTAATATAGGGTAAAATATCAGATTATTGAAAACCTGAAAGTGTTTTGCCTTCCCTCTCTCTTATACCAAAGAGAATCAAAGTGGGGCAACCTTGAGTTTCTTTCTCCCGCTTTCTTGTTTTCCCAGACTAAGCTCATGTTGTATTAATGGTTGCCACATATTCTCTCCAAGGTCAACTCTGTACTCCTCTATGTCATAGACTAATTAAAAAAAAGTTCCTAAATAAAGTAAGATCATATTTATTAGCTCATGATGCTTCCTTTTACCAGGAGGCATTTATATAATCCATCTTTAATACTCAGCTTAGCACATTTAGTTCATTTATACAACTTGTCCAGAGAACATTTATTGGCTTTAAAATTTGCTCTGCTATTTTAGGGGGAAAGTGAAATGGAAATTGTCTTTAAAAAATAATGTGGGTATTTGTGATATGAAAAATGGAAAATATGCCTAGCTGTGATTTTTGTTTTCCAGCAGAGTTCTCAGTTATGAGCCCTATAGTTACAGCAGCAACAAGCACAGTGGTTTGACCCAAGGCACACATTTCCTCCTCCTCCTCCTCCTGATATGACAGCAGGCAAAGGAACATGACTTACCTCCCAATCAGTAAAAGCTCTCTAAGTACTCCCAAGCGTCTCATAGCCATGAGGATTCCCCTGACAGTCATCCCTTCGCAGAAACAAACCACAACTCTGGCCTTTGGTAACCTGTCCCGGAGCTTCTGTAACAGCTTCTCAAAGCTTTTTTCTCCTGCGTTGCTGTAGATCTTGTCTGAATGAGCAATACAAAGGCCCTCCTGTGCAGCCAGTTCCTTGAAAGCTTCCATGCCACTCTCTCCATAGTTTCCTAAATAAAAGGGAAATGGGTTGTCACTATTATTTCCAATGCAGTGGAAGCACCTGAGAGGCTTCAAAATGATTAAGGATGTGTCAGTTCCACCCATTGCATAAATCTTAGCTGATTAAAACAATTAAGTCCCCCAAATAATTCACTCCTCTGTATTGGTTATTTGTGACCTGGGGGAGTGCCACTTTCTACTCTAAATCTTCTTGGCCAGACACTATCGGTTTCCATCTGATATGGATCACAGAGGCTGTATTGCTCTAATTATTTCACTATCACCATAAGGGCAATGATTGGAAAGCAAGGGAGGCAAACATGAGGAAGAGGCCCTTTTTTCCCCCAGTTAGCACTGCAGTTACTTTGTTTTTAATTTAGTTGGAGACTCTGAAATTTCCACAATACTTGACAGGAGAGGCTAGCTTTCCATTTTTAGCAGAGGTCCCTGAAAACAAGCATTTGAGAGAAGAGCAACACAAAGGTTAACCAAAAGCAAGGTTTTCACTTACTCTGGAGTCTTGTTAATTCTGTGGAGACAGAAATCAATGGGGCTGCCAGCTATTAGGGCACTAGGAATACACAGTGAAGTGTGAATAAAGAGTGCCAGTATTCCAAGAGGCACCATTTGTCTCTTTCTTCGTAATTGCTGTTGCAACAGAGCATTATTCAAGGTATCGTTCCACCTGGTTTGAAACTTGCAAGTTGCTCAGCTGTGCTTTTCAGCTTTGTTTGGCAATTCTTCAAGCACCTTCAGAAGTCTTTGTTTTGGGAAATTGCCTCTCCTTGGTTTCCTTTGGTATGAAATTAATCAGAGCAAAAGCAATTCTTATGCTTTCTGTAGGGCTTTATAGAATGGGTAATGTCGTTTTGGCTTTGAGTTATAAATAAAATGCAAAAGCAACAATATAGTTAATGTGATTTTCTTCCTCTTTTTTCCCCCAAGCATGGGCTCACTGTACACTTGTAGGGCACCTAAGAGTTCAGAGGGGAAGAAAGGGATACCACTTGGAAAGTATCCCCCCCCCCCCAAAATACACAGAAACTTTGTAATTTTGTCAGAAGAGTTTTTGCATTCCTAGCTGTAGTAACATGATTCCTCATGTTTCAATACATGCACACGGGTTAGGGGAAGTGCCTGTTTCCCTTCTCCCCACCACTTACCTATCAATATTCATCCAAGCACTGTGCCTGCAGCTAATGGCTAGACTGAGGCAAAGCAACTAGCCCCAATTTTCACCAGTGCAAAATTCATAACAGGATCTGAACCTGGGTCTTCCAGTATAAAGCTGACCCGGTGACCCAGCCTGCCCAACCCAAGTCCTCTGTGAGATAGGTACCCCAAAATTCATGTTTAAGGCCCTCACTATTTCCAGAAATCATTCCACTGAATTCTGAGGTAGACTGAGGAAGAAAGATGGTTTGCTTCCCAAATGATTTTAGAATAATCAGAACAATACAGAATAGTGCATCACCCTTATCACAACTTAATAGCAATAACTTTTAAAAAACCTTCAACTCCTCACACACATATCTAGTAATCCCAGCCCTACTCTCCCACAGACTCCCACAAGGAGGGTATACTTCAGTTTCCTTCTTTTAAATCAGGGGAATTTGGGAGTTGAAGTCCACACATCTTCAAGTTGCCAAGGTTGATTTAAATTTAAATGAGGACTACCTGTATCTTCACCCTGGGCTGAACTAGAGATACCGTAGAAACCTTGACCCAATACCTTCAGGCTAAAAAGATGATGTAATGGGTTGTGAGAATAACTTTGAGGAACAGGAGGAAGAGCTGCAGCTGATTTAAATTTTATCATCTTATGGGAGCTAAGGTTGAGAAACGCTGGTCTAGGAGAACCCCAAGTCGCAGACCTGCTCCTTCAGAAGAAGGGTTTCTTCATCCAAGGACATCCCTGGTACAGAAAACCAGATTATTTCTGGACGAACTACAACTCCATCTCACTAGGGGCTTCACCTTGTTTCTCCCCATTGAAATCTGTTAGCCCTTCAAGGTAGACCAGATTTGAACACCATAGTCATGAATACTAAAACTACTTTGATTAGAGAGTTACAATAACAGAATCTTGCAATCTGAATGTGCTTCCCTCCTCCCTGCCTTTATCCTAAGGAGAACTAGGGAGGGTCAAATTTGAGACTTTTCTCAAATTGCATTCCTGCTTTGGACCCATATTTCTCTTATATGACGGTTGCCTTGGCTGCAGCTCTTCCTCCTGTTCCTCAAAGTTATTCTCACAACCCATTACATCATCCTTTTAGCCTCAAGGCATTGGGTAAAGATTTCTACGGTATCTCCAGTTCAGCCCAGGGTGAAGATACAAGTAGTCCTCATTTAGCGACCACAATTGGGACCAGCATCTCAGTCATTAAGCAAAGCAGTCATTAAGTGAAACTGCAATTGTGCTTATGATCTTACTTCAGCTTTCCTTTGCTTTACAGACCTGTGAAGGTTGTAAATACGAGGATTGGTCACAAAGTTACTTTTTTATCACTGTCTTAACTGAGAATGGCCACTACATGAGGCAGTCGCTGACTTCTGAGGAAGAAATGGTGAACTGAAAATAGAGCTGCTAAAAGTGGAGCCAATGACTAAGGCAGAATGAAGAGCTGGTGAGTAGACTAGCTCTTCATAATTCCTCTCTGGACAAGGAACCCACAAATGCTCCAGACAATTGCTTCTCATGAGGAGACCATAAGACAGTGGTCTCTGGCAGGTGTAGAGCTCTGGGAGACAAGAGAATAGCCAGCTTGCTCAAATTGCAGTTGGCACCTTTAAAAGGACATTAGGTTCACATACTTCCTTTTCTGATCACTTTTGGAAATTGCTTGTTAACTGCTTTTCAGCTATTAGGAACCTTTTGATCAACAAGTCTGAAAACACTGGGTGAGTTTCCTTCAATCCTTAGTGAAAGAAGTTTTAAATACAAGTTTAAGGACTTAAAAAAAATTTTTTTTGACTAAACAGCAAAAGGATAATTAGAACTTTGATTTTGGAAAGTTACAAATGGACTAAGTGTCCAGATGGATTTGAAATAAGATTTTGGAG